GACACACTGTCTATTGTGCCGCTTATCTCTCAGCATGTCTGAGCTCAAATCAACAGGAAAGTGCAAGTCACGTTCACAGCCCATTATGCATGACAAAGAGAGGCCTGCACCGCAATGATCACCTCTGCATTAAGCACCCCTCAGACACCCCCACCTTAGCACACAAGACCCAGGATAGGCTCATCCGCAAACACAATGGCCGCAGAAGTAATTAATATGGAAATGCCTTGTGCTCATCACCACAGGATATGGCAAAGGGGGCTGATATCAGACAGAGGCAACAGTATTCAGCATGCCCCCCACACACACACACACACACTAGCATATGCATTCATTGCTTTAACCCTATATGCATGCGAGGAGACATCTGCAAAGTAATCAGGTCTTCAGCAGGCTTGGGTTGTACACTTGCCAATTATTATCCGAGTCTGGTGTCAGCTGACGAGGAGACGTGCGCCCTGTGCCAATGTCTTTTTCTGCACAGTGGAGTACATGGACCAGGGAAGGGTGTTAAAGCTGGTGTGAACTTCAGATGGTGGTCAGGTGCACGCGCAATGTGATCATACACAACAGATCCAAGCATTGCTACAATAGGGCAATGTAAGGAATGCCCATAGAGAAGGTGGACAAATTAATATGGAAAATATAAGTCAAGGCAACTGGACTGCTGTATTTTTCTTGAAGACATTTCACTGGTCATCCAACCAGCTTTCTCAATTCAGAATTGAGAAAGCTTTACAGATATACTATGACCTGGATGAATGAGAACCTTCAGGCAAATTATTATGGCGGTCAGAAGCCAGTGTCTCTAATCCAGGAGCCAACAGGATATCCTTTAGGAGCAAGCTCCATTGACAACCACTTGGCAAAACCTTGAAAAGTTAGGCACCAAGAGTAGTGGCTACCTGGCACCTGGGAATAGTCCAGCCCAGACAAACAGTAGTAAAGAATACTTCAAAGGTCGAAAAATCTAAAAACGCAGCAATCTCTGCACCTAAGACACCCCCACCTACCAGTCGGGACATGCTGGCGCTTGTAGTTCAACTGGAAAAAAGCTGCACAAAAAGGAAGTCAGGAGTGAGAAGATATGCAAGCTGCTACCGCTGAAAATGCTAACTGCTTGGTCACAGATCTAGAGCAAGTGTGCAGTTTTGCTACGATTTCACTTGCAGCATGCTTGTCCTGGGTGGGCGACTCAGAAGGTGTTAAGGCAAAAGAGAGCATTTTTTAGGAGGCAGCTGAGAAGAGCCGCCTTCATATTATAGGCTTGCTAGGACCTCTGATCTATACACGGTTTCCATCCACAATGAAATTTAAATGCACAAAAGAAACCAGGAATCACAAAATTTAACCCAAATTGTAATCTGTGCATTGATGGCCTTCAGGTCATACTGAGAATAGTAGTTCCACAACAGTGACAACAACTTTACAAGTTACAAAGACATGCTGGGACTTGTAGAGCCACCCTCCAAGACCTCCAAGCTCTTACCTAGACAATAAATTGCCGATATGGTACTACTGACACAACAGTGACAATCCGCTACATCCCTTTACCATAACTTCTAGTGAAGACATGCTGGGACTTGTAGAGCCACCCTCCAAGACCTCCAAGCTCTTACCTAGACAATAAATTGCCGATATGGTACTGCTGACACAACAGTGACAATCCACTACATCCCGTTACCATAAACTTCTAGTGAAGACATGCTGGGACTTGCACTTCTAACAAATTCGTCTCTTCCTGGCATAGTCTAGCGTCCTGCCATTAGCAGGGCAGAATAAATGAAGTCTGGGAAGCATCGTGTTTCATGGATGTTTGTCTCCTACCTTCCCAGCCTGCATCTCCTCTCTCGCTCTCTCCCCCGGCTCTTTAAATAAAAAGACAGCAGCAGAAATATATTTGCCTAGTAGTTCATAGACCTCCATCCACCCACACAGATAAACATAGCCAGCAGCAGACGAAGAAATTCCCGGGAGGAACTCTGGCTCTCTTCCCACAATATGTTTGTATAGTATTCCAGGCTGCAGGGGCTTTTTTTCTGTGCACTGAGAGACACTGGGCAATGTCTCGCTGTGTCCCCAGCCCTCCTATAGCACAGATCTCTCCTCCACTAAGCCCAGCTGGGACCACAAAGCATCCCCGATACCCAAATACACCAGATCACTGTTGTGCGTGACCGTAGACTGCCAAGCTCTGTGGAGCAATCATGTTTTTGTATTGTCACCGGTGCCAGTTGAGGACAGTGCAGGGTGAAGAAGGTATAGGAGGCACAGATAATAAAAGGGTATAGAGTTCGGGGCTGGCTAGGTCAGTATAAAACTAATACACACACACACACACACACACCCCATGCCTAAATGTAAGGCATGACTCATTATTCGGCAGGAGGAGACGACTGAGCAGCACGGCAGGCACCCTCAGGTCACCCCATCTTGGATTAAGACTGGCCTGGAAATCTGTAGTCAATAGCCTATTGTTCCCATTGTCTGCGGTGAAAACTGAAGCCTGACAAACTCCCAAAATACAAGCATGCATGTGTACCTTGAGTGTTGTGACTAAAAAGGATTTTTTAGCCTATTGCATCGCTACTAAACTTCCATCTCGAGTCTATGATCCAGTCTGACAGGCAAAGACCAGGTTCAGTCTGTCCTAACCTGCTCATCAGACGACATTAAAAACGTCACAGGCGGGGCCATACTTCCCATTAGGCACAGAAGGCTTGTGTCTACAGACAGCGGAGGCAAAGAGGCGGCTTCTGCCTGTACAGTCATTTCTTCCCTATAAATTTGCAGAAATGTCATCTCATATACACAGTCATAATACTCGAAGATGGGTAGGGAGCAGTAAAACAACAATATGTGTTGAGTAAAAAGAGGTGATCCTTAAAAATGGGGGGGGGTCTCTGGATTGAAGAGGCTGTATGCCTGCAACCTTGACCGCTTGTCTAATGAAATAACCAAAAACCATACAATGCAATGTTTGTGCACATATATGGGAATATAGCCATCCAAAACCCACTCCTCTGTACCACGTACCTCAGCTAGAACTCTGACACTTCCACATAATAGATGTAGGCACCCCAATGATCTGGCCATCCAACCCTCATTGGCCCTGTATATAGCTGCACTTTAGCAGGACTCAGATGATGCTTCCGCACATCAACTGTAGCCACCACGGCCTGCAACAGACCGAGCCACCTAACCCTCAATGACCCCATATATACGTGCCACTTAGCCGTGCTCCTCTGAACCGTCTAAATGTCAACTATAGGTACCCCGATTCTAAAACAGATTTACCCAACCATATACCCAAGCAGTCCTCATTGACCTCGTATGTATGGTCACATTATCCAGACATGTCTGACGCCAATACAAGTCAACTGTTGGCACTCCGATCTGTAACAGATCTGGCCATCCAACCCTTGCTGACCTTGTATACACACATGGACCTTTAGTGGACTCATCTGACACTTCTACACATCACTTGTAAGTACCCTGATCAAGCAAGCATAGACAAGCCAATGCAACCTTCATTGACCCTGTATATATGTTCACCTTAGCCAGACACATCTAATGCTTCTATGCATCAGCTGAAGACATCCCAATCCGGCAATCCATCCCTTATTGAATGTTAATACATGCACCATAGCAGACTCATCCAACGTTTCTACACGTCAAATTGGAAGTACCCTGATCTGAAGCAGAACTAACAATCTAACCACATACACAAGCCAATGCAGCCCTCGTTGACCTCATATGTATGCTCACCTGAGCCAGACACGTTGGACGCTTCTACACGTCGACATCCCGATCTGTAGCAGATCTGTCCATTGGACCTTAGAGGACACCTCTGACGATTCTACACATCAATAGTAGTATCTGTATCATAATAGTGGATCTGCCCATCCAACCCTTTAAGACCATAAACGCATGAAGCTTAGGAGGACTCGTATGATTATTCTACACGTCAACCAAAGGCATCCCAATCTGCCCAACCAAACCTTGAAGACCATATACACGTGAACTTTAGGGGACTCGTCTGATGATTCCACAAGTCAGCTGTAGGCATCCCGATCTGCCCAACCAACCCCTGAAGACCATACACGCATGAACCTTAGTGGACTCGTCTTATATTTCTACACGTCAACCGTAGGCATCCCGATCTGCTCAACCAACCCTTGAAGACCACATACACGTGAACCTTAGCGGACTCATCCGATTCCACATGTCAACTGTAAGCATCCCGATCTACCCAACCAACCCTTGAAGACCATACAAGCATGAACCTTAGTGGACTCGTCTTATATTTCTACACGTCAACCGTAGGCATCCCAATCTGCTCAACCAACCCTTGAAGACCATACACGCATGAACCTTAGCGGACTCGCGTGATGATTCCACACGTCAACTGCCCAGCCAACCCTTAAAGACCATATACATGTGAACCTTAGTGGACTCATCCGATGATTCCACACGTCAAGCATAAGGCATCCTGATCTGCCCATCGAACCCTCGATGGCCGAATGCGTGTGTATCTTAGAGGACACGTCTGACGTTTCTACACATCAATTGTAGGTATCCCGATCTGTCCATCCAAGCCTTGATAACCATATACACATGAACCTTAGGAGGACTCATCTGATGATTTTACACGTTGATCATTGACATCCAAATCTGCAGCAGATCTGCCCAATCCTCATACAACCGCACATTTGCCGACCCGGAAAGTTGGAGGTGACCCAATGATCACCCTTCCCATGCGGATGATCTGCCCGTCTATTGGGCTCTTTCCAACATCCCAGCCATGCAACCATTGAAGGTCCCATCCACTGCAACAGAAGCCACAGCTGCTGCAGAGCCTCTAGCCTCAGCTGTCAATCAAAGCCCTGCAGATGGGTTTCCCAGGAGGACTGGACTGCTGGCTACTAGTAAACCCCGCCTATCGTATATACACAAGTGTGGCCCCTGGAAGAGCCTAGCGGGGGCCCCTCCTCTCTTACCTGGTTGTTGTGACGAGCGCTGCAGCGGCGTATTATCCGGTGTGCGGCGATCATGCGCTGCGGTCCCATAAACTGGCCATGGAGCAGCAATCACTTCCCGCAGCGGCTGGGAAGGAGGATTCCCCCTGCAGCTGTGCTCATCTTCCAGTCAGGACACCTCCTCCTCCTCCCCCCGGGAGAACTCCCCCCCCCCCTTGTACCGTGCACCGGGAGAACCGCCCCCCGTCCTCAAATCCCAACCGGGAGGCAGCAAAAGTTGTGTGCAGAGGCAGCGCCTGGCCGGGGAGGAAGTGCCGGAGCTCTGATGGGGGTCTGGAGGTGGAATCAGGCAGGCATTACCACATCATTTCCTCCTCCACCGAGGGGAGGGAGCGCTGGGAGAAGGGCCGGGAATGGGCCGGGACAAGGGAGGTGGACCCTCATTAGAATGACAATCAACGTGTGGATTGGCTGCCCGCACCGACTCTGGCGAAGTGCTAATTCGCGCAAGTGAAAAGAGAATGCGAAAAAGATACAAAAGGCTGTGAAACTCAATAGGGGGAGTGAATGAAATGCCGAGCAGACAGAATCTGGAGCGGACGCCCATGACAACCAATTAGCTTCTCACTCAAGTTTGTTCAGGTGAGGTGTGAAGTGAAAGAGAGAAGCTGATTGGTTACCATAGGCAATTGCTCCAGATTTTATAAATTCCCCTCAGTCTGTATATAGCAATTTAGCGCAACCAGTCCCAATGAATTCTAGGCCAGAGGTGGGAACTCCAGCTGTTGTGGAACTACAAGTCCCATGAGGCATTGCAAGACTCTGACAGCCAGTGGCAAATGCATGTTGGGATTTGTAGTTAAAGCACAGCTGGAAGGCCCGTGTTCTATGATTCCATAGGGTACAAATGTCCAAAGACCTGTAGCACACCTTACCGGACTTCCCATATGAAAAAATGGGTGCTCGCAATGACTACGGATGGCCCCGTATCAAGTAAAATCGTTGTGTATAGATGTCACCAGCACTCCAAATATGACAGAATAAGTCAAAGTTTTAGTGAATCTTCGTTTTTATTCTTTGAAGTCACTCAAAATGGAATCAGTGGATTCCACTTTGAGTGACTTCAAAAAATAAAAACGAAGATTCACTAAAACTTTGATGTATTCTTTCATATTTGGAGTGCTGGTGACATCTATACACAACTATGATTTCATAGGACCCGTGACTTTATCGGACCTCCAGGGGGGTGTGAAGGGCTCGGCGCACTGAGGCACCAGGTCCGTAAATCTCACGAACCAACGCTGCTTCCTCTGGACCCGTGACTTTATCGGACTTCAAAAGGGGCGTGGCAAGGGCACTGTTGTGTGTGCATGCGCACTGCAGCAGTAGGTCCATAAATCTCACGGACCAACGCAGTCTGTTGTCCAGAACTCTTACGGACTGCCACGCATGTGCCAGTTCAGACATCTGGACTTGGAGCTGCTGATAAGCTGCGTTGGTCCGTGAGATTTATGGGCCTGGTGCCGCAGTGAGCTTGTGCACGCGACAGAGCCCTTGCCACAACCCCACACACCCCCCTGAAGCCCGGCCTCGGGGCGGCAGAGGGGCGGCAGCGGTGACCTTGTGGGGAAGTTGCGGGCGCCGGTGTAGGGTGTCCGGCGGCCGCACACTACGGACCGCCGCCGTCCAATCACGACGGGGCGGCCCGAACCCTGGAAGTCCAGTAAAGTCACAGGACCAATGGAAGCTACGTTGGTCCATGAGATTCACAGACCCGGTGCCGCAGTGCGCTTGCGTGCAATGCCGAGCCCTTCACATGCCCCCTGCACACACCCCTGGAAGTCCAGTAAAGTCGCAGGTCCAATGGAAGCTACGTTGGTCCATGAGATTTACGGACCCGGTGCCGCAGTGGGCTTGCGTCCAAGGCCGAGCCCTTCACACACCCCTGGAAATCCGATAAAGTCATGGGTCCAATTAGAGCTGCAGCTAACGATTATTTCGAAAATCGATTAGTTAGCCGATAATTTAGTTTGATAAATCGGGATTAAAAAAATGGCTCCAGTGATGGACTACTAGTTTGTATTGAGATTGTAGTCCATCACAGGAGCAAGCTTGGAGCGGTGGAAGAAAAAAAGAAAGGGTGGTGTGCAATATAGTGAAATTAAAAGTGTAAAATTATACAGCAATCAATGCAGAATGGCACTGGCTATAGAGGACTACAAATCCCAGCAATAGTACATTATAGCTGGTGGATCTGGCAGCGGCGAACGTGAGGCGGGGAGGAGGTGTGGCGTGTGTGGAGGCGTGAACAGAGCCAACTAATCGAAAGCCAATTAATCGATGATTGAAAACGTTGACAACTTTTTCAATCATCGATTATAATCGACATAGTCGATTAGTTGTTGCAGCCCTAGGTCCAATGAAAAGATAGTTGAATACATTGTTTTTGATCTGAATAATAGGTGCCACACCCCTTAAGTTTATAGTAGTAAGAAAAGAAAGTGGGGTTTTGTAGGCACCAAAAGACAATTCCACAAAGCAAAAATCCGTATAAAAAGTTGATTTTAATTATAATCATTTTTAAGAGAAAGAGATCCATTAAAAATCAGCTAGATAGATAGCTCCCTGTATGCTCACTCCATATAAACCTTACTTAGTACATGATTTTAACATATAAGCAAAAGAATATATGCATTTATATAGTGGTTGATATGATATTGTTGTAAACATCAAGAATTAAACATCAAAGTAGCAATTCATTAAATACTGTAATAAATAAAGTTGAAAGGTTTGGAGATGGAGGAGCTCATACGACGTTTCGCGCGCACAGGCGCTTCTTCAGGCAAACGGAATATCTATATAATTTTTTAAGAAGGAGCATAATAAACAAACATTCATGATGCTCTTGAAAATAATGATAAAACATCAGGTAAGGTTTTCGCCTACCAATTTGCATATGCTGATGCATATGTATCTGGGCGGGTCTATCCGAGCCGTGCACCCGCGTGGTCCCCCCTAGGGGTGGTTGGGGTATACAATGATGAGCCAAGTCCCAATACTGAGTCAGGGGTAGGAGGTGGGAGACATAATAACAAGCCTAAAAAAGGGATGAATAGAGAGGGCATGATCACAAGCCGCAGTCCAATAGAAATAGAGATCATGTCTGGTAGATATATAGAGGAATCCTCCTCTAAGTGGTAACAAAGTGTATATATATAAATAAAGCACAGCGGCTAAAGTAACTTACATGAGAGGAGTAGTCCGATCGGTCAGATTGCTGGCCGTACAATACGAAAAAGGAAAAAAAAAGAAAGGGCAGTGGACCGAAAATAGATGCCCACCTGCTTGTCTCCAAAGATCTGAGATCCTCCAAATACCCCCACGCCACCCACAACCAGCACCGCCGCCTCCCGGCCGCAGACTGATGTCGGTGGCTTACGTGGGCCTGCAAAGTTAATAGATAGAAGTGTGGGAAAGGCTACTCAGGCCAACAGGCTGCATACCAGGAAAACCTATTATTTCGAAAAAACACTTCGCTAAATTGACTAACCTACATAGACGTGGGAAATGCTTTTTCAGACCCATTGGGACCTGAGGATAATAACTTAATATATTTGGGTGCCATTCGGGTCTAGAAGCCTCAGCTTTAGTATTATATGTATATCCTGTATATGGCTCCCATGTTGCCATAACGAAAATTCGCATTCAGACCCATTTGGATGCATTAGACTGAAAAACACAACTGATTGGCCAGAAAAGTCACATGTTCGATGCAGTTTCGTTTTTGAACGAAATATGGATGGGAACGGACAATTCAGGTAGGTGGACGGGCGTTGTCCTTGCCCTTGTCAGGAGCCTTGCACCCGCTAGGGTTCAGGAATTCGAGGCCCTTCCCTTTCATAGGAGGACCAAAGCACCCTTGTGCACTTTTTTTTTAGTGTGCTGTGAGTTCACTTTTTTTGTTCAAGGGGTGAAGTTTCTCTTCGATGCACGCACCACATAGCAAAAAGAAAAAAAAAATCCGTACACCTGTGTCCATTAGATTGGTTGCTTTCACTTTTGACTGAATTATTTCCATAAAATCCCGCAATCAAAATTATGTCCTTGGTAATGTAAGCATTTGGAGATCTTTGGAATGGCTAAAATCAAAAAAGGAACGTGTTTGATACAGTGCTACATTAATAAAGGAAAAAAACATGTTCCTCCAAGGTTGGCATGGTGACACTTTGCTAATAACCAAATAACAATCCTTTGTTACATTTATCTCTTGATCTTGGTATGTGTATTCTCCTGTATGACTGCCAGGCAAAGGATTTCACCTCTAGCAGGACAGAAAGTTCCATAAAAGACACAGAAATTGACATTGACGAAACAATTATAGGAACAGTATTGTAAAGTTTTGAATAGATACTACCGTAAGCTTATTTTATTATTTTCTTCTTTTAGACACCTCAGTGTTGTACACATGAAATTCCCATTCTGTACATTGGCCATTGTGATTGCCAGTGGATGGGGATTGGAGGTGGAACCGTACTTCTATAGTCCCTGACAGATATATGAAGACATATAAAGATTGAGCCCAACAGCTTCCATCCATACTTAATATGTATTTTTTTATTTATTTAGATGGACTTTTACTTTAACAACTAATACACTATGTGGCCAAAAATATATGAACATCCCTCAAATGTATTGAGTTCAGGTTTAGGAAGCAAGCTCCATAAAAACATGGCTTGTCAGGTGCCGATACTGGTAGCTGGCTGGTTGTTGAGGAGGCGCTTGAGTGCGTTGGACCAGCTGGTGAATCGGCAGGACCGAGATGACACCGGGACCTCTTGAAACCAGAGCAGGCAGCGGGTACGAGGCCAAGGAAGCACTGGCAGGATGTCGTTGCTCAGGATGCTGATGGAGCGATCCAGCAAGTGGCAGACCAGGAGGGAAGTCAAGTTCAAGCCGAGGTCATACACAGGGACCCGAATCTTGAGGTGCCGAATCACACATCAGGAGCAGGGTCAGGAAACGTAAGCCAGGGTCATAAACAGCAGATCAGAGAGCAGAGGCACCGAATCAGGAGGAGGAGGCGGAGTCAAATGGACATACACATGAAATCAGGATACAAGAACAGAGTACAGGGCACACAGGGGCAAGCTGAAGACCACTCAGCAACTTGGTCATGGCTTCATGTCTGTTTAAATAGGATAGTGTGCACTACTAATGAGCGTGCACCTGTACGCTAACCAGCACGTTTCTGTGCGCTCACGTATGTGCGCTATTGCGCATAAACGTTCCTGTACGCGTGCGTTCACGTGCTAAATTGCGCTTTCCAGGAACTTTGGGCAATGGATTGCATACTTGTGTGCGTGCACGTTTTTGAGCAGGAGTCCATTTGCAGGTAAGTCTCTTACAGGACCTGAACTCACAAATGGTATTTAGT